CACTTAAATGAGACGCCCTCATGCTAATGTTTACATTCAGACCAGTCAGGTTCTCTCTTATCACTCAATGGTCTCAATCTGAGGCTTTTATCTGTGAACTACATGACCAATGAGATAATACACTGTGTGTGTGTATGTGTGTGTGTGTGTGTGTGTGTGTGTGTGTGTGTGTGTGTGTGTGTGTATAAAGATTGTTAGCTTCCTCCTGGCAGTAGATTTACAGCAGCAGTAAAGTCTTTCACGCAGGTCTCTCTCCCTCCTCTTATCTTGGTTCTATCCATCATGTTATCTTTATAAACTCGTTTCTCCTCCAGGTTAAACGCTGCATTACCAACAGGTTTGAATTCCACTCATTCATCTCAACAGTCAGACAGCCCAGATACATGTTTATTTCCTGCTCTATAATGTCCTCACTAGAGGCTGCTGTCAGGATTATTTCCATTTATATTTGTCTATTTGCTTCACACCTGAGATGTATTTTAACACTGTTATTTAAAACTGGACGAATATGCTGTAGTTTTCTGTTTGCACCAGCAGGTGGAGACTGGTTTTCCTCTGTGGATTTATATATTGTTTTTAATTTAGTTTAAAACCTAAAAACTCACAGACAGACTCACATTAACACACTAAGTTTTACTTTCAAAGAAATTAACTCACGTTTTCCTTCCATCTAGAAGAAGTCGTGGCTAGAAAAACCTTGATTTAGTCAATTTGGGTTATTTGTAGTATTTTAAAAATAGCCAGACTGACAATGAACCCAAGTGTGAAGTTTTCTGTAGAAGCAGGACTGAAGGTTTTAGTCACACGATTGTCCAATTTGTTTTTGCAAAGTCTGACATCAGAGGGGAAAAACTCAAAATCCTATCGGTTTCTTATTGAGTATATAAGAAACGCGTATATTATATTATACGCGTTCACTGTAAACAACTCTGTTTTATACTTCTGCAAATTAACTCTGCACAGTTTGATTTATTATGAATCTACAAAGAAGAACAGTCAACACCACCTCTTACTCCTGATATGTACACTTATGTAGGTTTTTATGAGCCCATAAACAGTCTTATTAACACTTCATAGATGTGAAGAGAGCGAGAGAGAGAGAGAGAGACAAAGAAAGAGAGAAAGAGCGAGACAAAGACAGACTGTGTGTGTGAGTCAAAGGATACTTTTGGGTACAAATTTCAGATTAAAAACCAGATTAATGGAACAGTTTGTCCAAGTGGGGACAACAGATGTGACCATATTTTGGAAAAAGATGATTTGGGGTCAGTGATTAAGTTCAGAGAAAGAGTGTGTGTGAGTGTGACTCTGGACTTTGAGCTCATTAAAGAGAGTCTCTCAGCTCTGTTTACAGGACAAGAGGTGAAGTACGAGGAACAGACGGAGGTAGAAGTGGAGTGAAACCTCCTGTTGCCAAAGCAACATACTTAGATGTAAACTCAGTTTCCTTATCTCCTGTCAGAGTGAGTAACTTAAAATAAGTAACTTTAAAAGTACTTTCTGCCCTGAAGATACTAGGGAGCGATGAGGATGTCCTCTTAAAAAAGGTCGAAGGTGAAGAGGCTTTAATTACCACGACTGAGGACTACTAGGGAAACGCTTTGAGGCACACACACGCACGCATACATTCGTAGACACAAAAAGAAAACTGTCCCTTTGACCTCGTAAATGAGGCCACATGGATCTCACACGACCAGTATCCTGACTTCTGCTGTGAAGTGAAATGTGTTGATTTTAAAAGCCTGACTGAAGATTTACAGAGGAACTCTAATTCACAAAATCTGTTTACAGGTCATAAGAAGAGTTAGACAGAAAGATATCAACTGAAAACTTCTAAGGTGTTTTCAGACCCTTAATGTAATTGAGGCTTGATAGTTTTACTGTAAACTATATCTAGAACGTGTTCAGCAAAATAAAAATATCTCTGATATGGTTACATCAGATGTTTTTTAGCTGAAAGAAAAATCTGTTGGGCTCGACAGGGCGTGTGAAAGATGTTAAATAATGTGGTGAGGTGAAATCTGACTAGCAATCTCAAGTGATGTCATTTGTCAGAGCTGATGACCACAAATGTTAAATTTAAAAAAAAAATCTAGAGGTAAATGTCGAGTTTGACGGACCTCTCTGGGCCTTTTCTCTTCTCTGACTGTGCCGAGCAGCTCGAGGCTATAAAAGACTTTCCTGGGTCTAATTGCCATGTGGATAATGTCGGCAGCAGGATTTTAATCCAGCAACAAGTCAAAAGATGCGTCTCTAGTTCTGCTGCGTTACTTTGCTCATTCTTAAGTGTCCGTGTTGAGCTACACATTCAAACAGAGGAGCAAAGTTAAACCGGTGGAGTACGATAAAGAATCTTGTGGCGATGACAAACAGAAACTCTGTGCAACATTTTGCTCGTGTTTCTGTTGCCACAGCAACGCGTATCTCTAGTGTCCACACTTCCTACTACTTTCTTATTATTATTGCTTTTTGAGTTTGTCTGTTGGCACTAAACACATTAAAGTTGCACTTCTAGAGAACACAGCTACAGTGTGAATGCAGAGTGAGGTTAACAAACACACACACACGCCAGGACTGGACATTGGCAACTGAACTGTGCGATCAAATCAACCACAGTCTAGTGATCTACAGCATGGGTGAGCAGACGTGCACTGCGGGGCGACAGGAGAGAAGACCTCCTCCTGCTGAATACTCACCAGAGATATAAACTGCAGAGAGGAAGGAAGGGAGGAAGAAGGGTTGGAGATGGAGGTGGAGGTGAAGAGAGGAGAGACGGGCAGGTGACGCCCAGCCAGGAAGGCAGAGAGGGAAGAGTTAAAAAAAATAAAGAAAACACTGGAAAAGAACTGGCGATACGATGAAAGGCAATGACAACAGAATAAAAGGAAGAAGAGAGAGAATGATAGGGGAAAGTAAATCAAAGAAAGATGAGATGTGTTGAATAAGCAGGAAGAAACAGGGAAATGAAAAACACACCAACAGAGGAGAGAGAGAAAACAAATGATGAATACAAACCCACCTTTATTTCTCTCTGTTCCACCGATTTCTCCCAAATCTGTTGGTCATAGGCGCCAATCTGAAAAATACAAAAGAATTATAGCTATAGAGAGAAGAGCTTCAGCAAACACAGCAAAACACAAGGGTTCGGTTAATATACGACGTCATGACACGTCAGGTCATATTTTTAATAAGAGGAAGCTCAGTAGCCACAACAAAATAATGTCAAATAGAAACAATGTAATCCTACAGCATTCAACTATCAACTCCTGTGTTTTCTGCAGCTGCAGTATTATTTTAAAGCCAGATTATAAACTCACAACTGTTAAGATAGGGAAGGTTCTGCAAAAACAGATCCTTGCGGTTTTTGTTTAATTTGTGTGGATTTATTCAAAGCTCCAGTCTCACAAACGGGACTGTCATGATCGCACAAAAACAATATTAGTGTTATAATATTAAAATTCTATTATTTTTGGGTGATCATGACAATGTGGAGAAATGAAAGTGTGAGTCTGTAGATACATATTGTTTTGGTTTAAATTATCCAGGGGTTCCCCATCATCAGACGCACAGAGAACTTGAAACCGCAAACACAGGAACTGGCCTTGTTGACCTGTAGATGCTGCTCTACGAGTTATATGAAAACGTACACCATCAAAACACTTCATTCTTATTACTTGAATTGTTTATCCGTGTTGTGGGCGCAGAATCAAAATGGTCGATAAAGGACTGATTAATCAGCCAATCAGCGCAACAGATGTTGTCAACAAGGAAGTATTAGGAATCTTGATTATAATTATTATTAAGCGTTTTTCCACAAAGTCTCTGTTGACCTCTGAAGAGCTTGTGACGTGAAAGAGTCTAACACACTTAAACCTGCTGAGTGGATCACGCTGTGATATAACAAACAGCACATTGTATTTACCAGTCTTTTTTTTCTTCTCTTAGTCACTTTTGACCTCTGTCTCTTTTCACAACAAAGCTCTCTAACAAGATGAACATGTCCGGAAGCCGGAATTTATCAGTGTCACACACACATCGTGAGGAAAGCATGCAGCAGCAGCAGCAGCAGCAGCAGCAGCAGCAGCAGCAGCCCATGTCACTGTTATCAATAGTGTCAGGAGGAGAAAGTGTGTGTGTGCAAGATGCTAGAGGAGTGGTTCACATTTCATTTCACTCTTCCTCATTTCTTTTTAAAAATAAACATGTTTCAGATAAACCTTGGCTCCGACTGTTGGACATGAAGTAGAAAAGGATTCTGGGAGTTTAAAGTAAAGTTTTGCTGCTTTTTAATAAAGTGAGAGTGTTTCAGACAAAGAGGGTCAGCGGATGATGTGACCTCAGCAGATCAGTGTATTTATGCGTGTGTGCGTGTGTGTGTGTGCGTGTGTGTGTGTGTGTGTGTGTGTGTGTCCTAGGCATCGAGTCTGGGTCGCTGTGTGAGCCAACCAGTGGAAACTCTACATCTTTAATGAGACTTCATTAAAGATGGATAGAAAGAGAGAGAGAGAGAGCACACGAGAGAGACAGAGAGACAGAGGTCACAGACAAGGTAAGAACGACGTGAGGAGAGACAGAAGAAGAGGAGGGGAGAAAGATTACTGGAGGATGGAGAGGAGCAGTTCGGGTCATACACTCTCGCTTTCTTCTTTCTCTTAATCAACATTTTTGTTGGAGAAATAACACAAATAACACATGAACAAAGCTGACATGTTTTCATCTGAATGTCCGATCAGTCTTCAGAACAAAGTGTCTCTATGTAACGATCCTGAGCTTCAACTAATAATATCTGTATTTACACCATTATGTGGTGCACACACACACACACACACACACACACAGTCTGATATCCCAGAGTCAACAACCAGATACCAGTAAGATGAGTGCGTCATACAGATTTTTACAATGCTTTGCTTTCATTTTGAAATCTTTTTAACTGCAGCCTGAAGCTTTCACACAATCACAGTCCAAAAAGGAAAATGAATAAGATCATGAGAAGAAGAAGAAGAGCACAGGGTAAAACGATCAAAAGCACCAGAACAGCTACTAAATGGACTTTGTGAAAAGGCAGTTTTTGTCCTAATCCTCAACATTACAAATATTCTAATTCTTTAAATTGATACATCACGATATTTAATGTTTTTGAGCTGTTGTGTAAAATGTACTGTCTCAAGTCATCATAGTGTTTACCATAGACTGTATATAAAGATGGGCCACATGACAGCTCCCCAAAAGTAAAGCCAAATGTTTATATTGACCCTCGAGGCTGGTTTGAGTAGAGGTCATAAATACTGCCTCCTTCATGTTATTGGGACATGGACCAAAATTAAAAGTACACGAAAACACATTTTTTCTGAAAGTTGATTTCTGTCATTTTTGGTCGTTTTTAATCACACTGATGTATCTAGTAGTTTGATTGTAATTACTCATTTTATTGTAATGATGTATTTGATTTATTTGGGTCCTCGCTACCGCGCCTCCATCCCCCAACTGCTACTGCGCACACTCTGGCTTCAAAAGCACAAGATGGTAGCTTTTGTATCCGTGAAGTAGAGAGGCGTCCTCTGTCTTTATTTACAGTCCAAGGTGTTCACAATACAGACAACTTAATACATTTATTCTTATACTACTAAAAAACCCAAATTGCATGCTTTTAAATGTAGAAATTCCAGTTCATAACTGTTACCATCTTACTCATAATATTCAAGTCTGATATTGTCATCACAGGTGACAGGTATTTACTGTATTGTGTCATTGATGATTTTGTAGGAATTTTCAAGTTTGTTTGTCTTATTGACCTTTGACACTGCTGACCTCACACGCTGCATTAAGATAATGTAGCATACTCTTCTATTTATTTCGCTAAATAAAGTTCACATTATAATCAGGTTGTGGTTTACTGACAAGAGTCAAATGTGGATCCTGTGAACAACTGTCCTATTCAGAGCACTGGAGAACATTAAATCTGACGTGTGACTGACTTACTGTGTGTGTGACATTTGGGCTGACAGCTAATTTTCCACATCACTCAATCTATTTACAGACACACACACACACACACACACACACACACACACACACACACACACACACGTTGGAGAGGATCCTGAGTACAAGTAGAGGACAGCCAGAGGCCAACATGACCCGGCTAAGAGCAAAGAGATATAAGAGGAGGAGGAGGAGGAGGACAGGGTGAAGATAAGGAGGAAGGTGGGCATGGAAAGAGGAGTAATAACACACACACACACACACACACACTCACACACACACACACACCTTATTACATCATGGAGTAGTGAGGTGGCTGAGATCTGGCGGAGTGGAATTAACAGCACAGTAAATCCTATTATCTTCACCCACATACCCTCGTCCTTACAACACTATCAATTGATCTCCTCTAAAAAAAGGTTAATTCTTAGGCAGCTTCCTGTCCTCTGTTTTCCCTCCTGCCTCTCACACAGTATTTTCCAGTTTTAAACAAAATATGAATTCAGCAGCTGCCAAGAGATTAAATATTCTTGGTCCTGCTCAAATGACACGTGAATCCTGAACGATTTCACGGAGAAAGATCACAGACGGACTTCAGCGATTTGAGAGGCAAATCAAGAGCCAAGTGAGAGCGCACCAGAAGGGAAGAAGATGATGAAGCCAAGTGTGCCGCTGCGGCAGTACTCGGGGTCACCATGGCGACGGATGGAGGGACGATCCTGGCAGAGCGAGGGAGAGTGGGATTATGTCGGCGTAGCGGAGTTATATAAGAAGAGCCTCTGCAGTGGAGGGGGGGGGGTAGACGCTTGTTTACAGAGAGACGGGGGAGCAGGTTTAAGCTTGTGTCTGCAGCACATGGACAAACATGAGGTTTAACACATTAACACCTATCAGCTGAGGAGTCCACACTGTTCACTGATGTTGTTATAGATCAGCTGAGGTTCGAGTAGCATCAGGCTAAAAGAGACTGAGGAGCGTGTTGTCTTTTCCAGTACACACCATTTACTCTGCATTAAATGAGACTTCAAGCTGCTCTGATTAATACTTTTAATTAACAATGGATCAAATGACAAAATTAAATACCAATCAACAACTATGTTCAAGGGAAGCCGAACCTTCCCGTCTTGCATAAGGCATAGCACCTGATGGGCACCGCCCGCACACAGCAGCCACCACCAAGCCGCTGCTTCACTTCTGAGGTCAATGAAAGGGTTAATTTAATGTGAAAGTAACATTCAGAAATATCCCAAATAGTGTAGTCGGCTCTATGTGGTGTGTTTTCGTCTTTCAGCTTATTTTTTTGGTTTTCATGACTTCAAAGCTTAACAGCTGTGGTTTAATCTGCGTAGGACGCATTTCGTTATCAGTTTTTTTTTTTGAAGTTTGCACAACCAGCAACGAGGAGTCAGAGATTCCAGATGTTCCCTGAGGAGTTGACTTTTCTTTCTTCCTACTAAACCACATAATAAACCATAGTGCTCTCGGCTGTGAGACTGACTGCTATGCTAAAATCCCTCACCTGTTCGTTGGAAACACCTTTTCAAATACGTCTGTCTAGGTGTGGTGAGTTTTGACACACCAGTGGAAACACACAGACGTGTGTGAACGAGGCTGCTTTAGTTTCACAGTGGCTTTAAAAACACTCTAAAAAGAACAAGGACGGAATCAATGAATAAATCAATTCAGAAGGTTTCACTCCAATTCTGTCCTATATCGAACCGGTGGGGCAGAGTACCAGCTCACAATGATACAACATATGACATTCTACAATTATTCATTTTTACTGCCAATCAAAATATTAGTAAATTATCTTGATCATAACCTTATTTTGAGAGAGTTCACAACGTCCAAAAAGACATGTGGATGTCTACAAACACCCCCAACGCAAATAATAAAGAGAATTAATGAGCGAGAGAACTGTTAAAAGGAATTCAGGTCAGACAGCTGGTTGTGACGTGAGGATTAACCCCTCTGCTGTGTTTTCACGCAACCGTGGCAACAGAGAGGTTTCTGTAGAGTGTGTGTCTGCTCTATTCTCAGCTCAAACAGGTGTGTGTCTGGGAGAGAGAGAGAGAGAGAAGCTCCTTTCAGCAGCCACAGACACATACACAATGTTTACCAAGGGAGTAATATATGGTGAGATTCCCCCCACACACACAATTTAAGTGAGGTTCAGTGAAAAAAACCACGATGATCAGTTGAGGGCAGCAATTTTGATCCAATTAATCAAATGATTATGCCTTAAATAAAATCTATAAATATTTTTAAATTCTTCATGAGCAGAAACCGAAATATGTAATGAGTCCAAAACCTATAGATCTTCAGTCAAACACCAAATAGTACAAAGAAAAGCATCAAAACTATAACTAATAAAATAATTACTTGGACAGCTGCAGATTACTTTCTTTTCTCAGTGAAGTTGTCAATAACTAATCAACTGATCCAGCTTCAGATCAGCACGTTTTACAGAAAATCTGATCATTCATTATTATTATATTTATCCCAGTTTCCCAAATGTCTTCAAATGGATTTTTCTATCGAGTAAGAAAAAGCAGAAAGTGTTAGATGTGAGAAGATGGTGCAAGTCTGATCCGTCAAATCTGTGGTGCTTTTCTTGAAAATTCACTCAATCAATAGATAGCCAAATAGCTTCTGATATTATATTTTGCAAGTCGGCTATAATTGATCAATTAACCAAATTGTTTCACCTCTAATATCATTATCCAACTAATAATACATTACCCCCATCGGGCTATTTTTGTAACAATGCCACACATCAACATCCACATCACAAAATGATGATGTGTAAAAAGAAAAACTTAAATTTCAGCACCTAACAGGATTTCTAGCATCTGCTCAGAATTAAAGCTTAACTCAAAGCTGTGGACAAACAGAACAAGGTCTTAAGAAATAAGTCTAAGAGCCTTAAAGTGAGATTTCCACGTATAGCTGAAAAGTACATGGCAGAGAGGACGGAGGAGAAGCACAACTGAGGAGCTTAACATCACGCTCCAAAAAGAAATGGACCCATGCAGGCAGCTGCAGCTTGAGTCAGCTGAGTGGGAGACGGCTCTTCATACAGGGAGGGAGAGCTTGAGAGAAAACAATCAACCAGCACGTCTCTAAATCCAAGACCCTGGAGAGGGAAAGGGACGCTTTCCTTAAAATGAATCTCAGCGATATTCCTGATGACTGAGAGGAGAGAGAGGAACGCAAATGGATGCAAATAAAATGGAACAGCTGATTGAAAAAAAGATCTGCATGCTGAAAGGAAACTAAGTGACCAAGTCTTGCAAAAAAACAAAGATTCCTACACCCGACAGAAGCTGACATGAAACCAAGACGCGTCTTTCCCAGAAACTCCAGGAGCTGGAACAAAATGATCTCAGATTATGATAAAGGGGTTCTGTGTAATGTCTGGTAGTTTATGTGTTGTCTTCTCAACTCTGAATATAGCCACAGCCTCCAACAATCAGATACACAGAGATGCTGATTCTGTAATAACATCCACAGATCTCGTCTCTCGTATGAACTGTGTCACTAGTGTCTTCAAATGGGCCCGGCAACAAAAACAAGCTATAAGCTGATTATTATAAGTGTAACTTTTAAACCCATATAAACCAGCTTCATTCCAGTTGTGCAGATTATGGTTCATGACACAATGATCACAATGAGGCTGATTTATCTCCACAGGAAGCTGTTAACTTGGCAGTCAAATATAGGGTCAGACTTAAAAAAGAAAGAAAGAAAGAAGAGTCTGTCAAATTTAAACAGATACAGACTGTGTGTCTACATGTGTCTTGACTGTGATATGGGCTCGGTGGTTAGATAAGAGGCAGCTTCTACTCTAACACTGAGGCTATTTGCAGCCTGTCTTCAGACGGCACGGTCAGAAATATCCTGTGAATCATACGGGACACTGTCTGACGACCTTTCGGAAAATAAATGCATTTTATCATGCATTTACAAACATGCACGAAATCATCATCATCTGAAATGTCTGTTGCCACTCCAATGCCATGGAAGTGAGTGCCATTTTGTTCATGGTGCTCACTTTAGTAGAAAATAGATGAAGTGTGAGGGTTGCCATGAATAACAAGACAATATTTCATACACTGTGAACAACCCACACAAAAGTCCCTTAGACTCATGCAAGAGATATTGGCTAAAACGTCTAATTGAAAATCATTTTATAAAAATGCATTTTATAAGAGGGCACTGAGGTAACGGTAGTGGACTGTTACAGCATCTCTAGTCTTGACCTGCAATCACCCAGAGCAACAGCTGGTGGTACTGGGATGGAAACAGAAAGGTCAGAGGTCATCTCAAAACTTCAGCAGCTAAAATCAAAACTCTTTGAATAAGGACGGAGACTGATCCTCTGAACTCATCACAATGACAGCATCTATAACATAGCACGATACAACAAGTGTTTTTCCACCACGTGAGGTCTGTCACACACACGCACACTTAAATACTCTCTTGAGGGCAGGGCTTCTTTATTTGGCAGGATTTCAGGTGTTTGCTTAATGCCAAACCTCAAAGTACCTCTCTCACGCTGGTATTTTTAGCAAAGCCGCGGCAGATCAAAACATAATATAACATGAAGCCGTTTTCACCCTCTGAGCCTCGACACTCTGCTGTGTTACATGGATCCCTGCACCAAAAGAGATAGGACTGTTAGCGATAAACAAAATCTTCCTATCCCGATGACTCAAAGCAATGAGACAAGAAAGCCTTGGTTGTGACTCAGAAAATCCAAAAGCGGGATCTTCAATAGAGTCTGTCACATAATTTACAGTCAGGTAATCAGAGGAAAAGTCTTGATTAGTTTAGAGACGTCAGAAACAAAGAAAGAAGCCTTGAGGGCAGACAGACGTGTAGAGTCTTCTCCTATAAGGTTTTATTCAGTCATAACTCTGCAGTTCACGTAAGTGACATGCATCTGCCCAGACAAGCTCCTAATCCACTTTCACACAGTGATCTCAAGAAGCTGTAGATTTAAAAACACAACTGAATGCCCTTAAAATGTAATCAACAAAAATTAGGATGAATTTCCAAATCACAATAAACTAAGCTGGAAAAGAATGCAGTGTTTAGTGTCCAAACCGTTTATTAAACTTTGCCACTTCTTGTGAGTCATATTAAATTCCATTGAAAGCTTATGTTGATGTCTTCACTTGCCTGGTGCCAGCATAAGACCAAAGTGATGGATGAAAGACAGACGCATGGAGACAGAGGTTGCACAGGAAATAACAGGCTGAGTCAGAGAGGCGATAGAGAGACAGGTTTGTGAGGACAAAGAGACAGACAGACAGACAGACAGAGTGTAAGCTGAGAGCTACAAGGGGGGAGGCAGTGAAGAAGTCCAGCAGAGGATCTGATATCTGATACTATGGAACAAGATGAAACACAACACCAGTCAGCCGCTGCTGACAGAACCGAAGAGTCCATTTCTAAAACACAGGAGGATCCAAAAGAGTCTTAACGAATGGTTTTGTAATGTAAAATAAACAAATCCTTCAGTTATGATTTCCTCAGTGTGACACAGAGCTAGAACCAATACATCCAACAATAAATGCATATTAAATTCTTGCAGACACATTAAATGCTAATTGCACGATGCAAAAGATCAATTTCAGGTCATTGAGATAAAACTACCAATTCATTTCTTTTATTACCTAAAGAATCACTAAAAAAAATACTTTTTTCAGAAATTCAACATAAACTATTTTAACCTTTACATTATGTTCCTTGCTTTCTTTTTTCTTGCACTTTCTACTTCTGAGGACTATTGTAAGTTCATCATTCAGCACCTCTAAAAACAGCGAGGATACACTGACAGTTTGCCAATTCAAAGTTTTAAATACCATGAAAGTAGTATAAACAGGACATAATAATAATCCAGGCAGCTGTTCGATCACTTTTTGTCCAAATACTGTACTAGACATATCATTTTGGAAAAACAACATTCTACAGCATTTATAATACTTAACCTGATATGACAACTCACAAAAACCACGAGATCATCAGAAGAACCTAAGGGGGTTAGTATTTGTATTTTGCTTTGTTATTTTTTTTAGAAATATACTGGTAGAAATTTTTTTTTTATAACTCATTCTCTTTCTGTCTGTTGTCTTGAGGCAAAGACATTTTGTTGAAGCTGGAGGAGGTGTCTCAGGAGTCACTCATCTCCAGTTTTCTTGTGTTCATGCATCTGCGCATCCTAATATGTGCAAACACACGGCAACAAGACTCAACAACGTTCACTGACTTCAACGGCCAAAATCTGCTACGCAGATTCAGAATTAACAAACCGAACCATCCAATGTGAACCAAGGCTCTCTATACCAACAGTCGATATCCCAAAGAATAGATATAATGGTACAAAAAAATACAGCTTTTCAATCTTATATAATCCCTTTTATAGTTTTAATGGGTTTCATAGAGCTGCAACACAGCAAAAAGAAAAGAGCAAATTAAAGAAAATGAACAGCATCTTACCTTTTTCTGGTACCACACCACAGCATCTTTTACTTTGGAAGCCATTTACATTTCACTTCTCCTGGCCTAGGGCATCTTAGACTGAGAACAGAAAACACACAGCGAGAGAGAGGGAGGGAGGGAGAGAAAGGGCAGTGTCAGTGACGGAGTAATGAGGCGAGAGCGAGGAGGAGCTAAGTCTATATAACAGGTAGGCAGGTGTGTCCTGACGACTGACAAAGGAGAAATGAACAGGAAGAAACACAAACACACACATTTATTGTGATGTGAGTGAAGATGTCCACTCAGTCTTTCCTTAAACATAACACACAGACACACAGACACACAGACACACACACACACACACACACACACACACACACACACACACAACCCTGTACTCATAAAGCCATGCAGTCTCCCATGACACCCGTCTCACAACATAAACAGCCTCTCTATGAACCACAGAATAATTATTACTTCTGTGATTATGGTGGTTAGAGCTGGATGTTCCCACTGATTTTATAATGCAACTCACACAGACACAAAACAGAGTCCAGTCCGTGGTGACAAAATAAAACTAATAACACCTCCGAGGTGTCGTTGCTGAAAGACTTGTGTCTGTATATCAAACAAGTTGGATTATTAAAACGTGTAAGAGCATGTGAGATGTATCTGATGATTGATGACTTACTTTATAACCTGGATACTCATGCTAGGAAATGATCATTAGCAACTACTTAAGAAAAACACTGATTCAAAGGGTGTGTGCTGATGAAGACGTGCGATGAATGAAAGCTATAAAGCAGAAACATGACAAAAACGGAAAAGCAGCTTAACTCAAGGTCAAAGCTTTTCCAGAGCTTTTAAACGTCTACTAAGCTACACAAGTTAAACTGAGCCCGAGAGGAAAAGTGGAGCACACATTTTTTCTAGGTAATCGCTATTAATCAGAGACAAAAACGTAAGTGTCGATGTGTCAGGATCTAATAAATCAATTTATATCTGGAACCAGGCGCTGCAGGAATCTTGGCAATGTCTTTGCCTGCAACCTGAACTTAGCAAAAACATATCACATCATTAGTTCAGGCCTGTTTCTACCAGATGATGAACATTGCTATGATCCAACTAGAATGTAACTCAATAGAACGCATACCTCTGCCAAGACATTCTGCACCAAACTGCACACAATCATTGATATCAGGAGGCTAAACATCCATGAGCTACGACACAGATTACCACCAAAATTAGGGTTCCTTCTTGACCCATGTCATTTTCACGATATCCATGACCAACCATTAAATAAACCATTTGTAGTATTACTATCATGAGATGATCAAAATCTGGCTGATGGGTAATCTAAGTCACAGAGAGACACCATACAAACATATCCACAGATTGCATGAGGCCTGTAGTAAGTCAGTGTTACAGTAGGTTTGTCGTTACAGAGAGTCGTCCTCGAAACAGGATCTTCTGGGGATGGAGGTGATGTGAGCCTGTTCGCTGTGGTTGAGTGTCACTGGTACTGTTACTGGACACTGAGAATTACCAAAGGGAGATATTTTGTCTGTGAATAGCAAACCTAACATGCAACAGAGTTATTTAAAATGCAATTTAACATGGAAACATGAGTTGGTGCAGGTTGAAGGAGAAGTGGTTAATGAGCTGTTAAAAGGGAAGGAGAGTGGCTAACCACAAAGTCTCCATGTTTGATACTTCTGCTGCCTCTGCTTCTTTTTCTTCCTCCTCTGTCTCGGTCCTTCTCTTTCCTGTCTGTTACGTAAATTCAGTGCTGTCCTGCTGTGTGAAGAGGGGATGAATTGGGAGCAGGTCGACAGAGTGACGGAGGACAGTGGCTGCAGGCCAGGTTGACTCAGACGGCAGATTCCGTTTAACTCCAGGAAAAATTACTCAGAAAATATTCCAAACATATATTTATATATAAGTTTTTCTTTTTTTGGGAGCATTTAATGATCTATTTTCCCTTCAGCTTTTCATAAATTCTAATTTGTTCTGTTTTCACTTTCCAGCTTTTCACTCAAGTTAAATGCCATTGACTTTGAATATCACTTGGCAGAGTGAAGACATCCTGCTTTGTATGTGAAGGCCTGTTTATGCTGGCACCTGAACCTGACATTTCCAGTTAGGAACACATCTTGTTGTAAATACTTTTCTAAGCCTTCAGTGTTTGTACATGCCACTTCATAAGCATATTTGTGCTGAGAGGTGCTAAATCCACCCATTCAATCCCAGCTGACTATATTCTAAAAGTAACCTGTAAATGCATGTGAGTACAGCTTATCTGCCAGCTACCAAACCACAAGACAAGTGTTTATATGTGCAATAAAATCTCCACTTCAAATCGAGTAGTATTAGTGAGAGTGTGTGTCGAGTCCACGCGTTCGAGGCGGCGGTGGAGGGAGTGCGAACTGTTGGTCAAAGAATGTGAAGTTCAAAAGCAGGAAGGAGAGAAATGTTTTTATTCTACCGCTGCGTCAAGCACAGTAGTCTGCCAGTAGTAGTAGTAGTATAAACACACGCACGCACAATCTCTATCACATCTACAACTGTGTGAGTTGCATGCAGCCTTTGCATTTACTCTATCGATTCAGTGTCATATAATACTCAGCATTTTCAGTGATGTGTTGATTTGCCGTTCGCATGTGTATGTGCGTGTCTGCACTTTTGCATCGGAAGGCAAGAGTCATTTTTAGAAACAGGAAGAAAGTATTTTGCTTGCCGTCGTCTACAATTACAATCATGACTCCTCCCTCCATCTTCCACTGCTGAACCTCACCATTCTTCACATACGTACCTCACTGTGCACTTGCTTTTTACGGCTATCTATAATCATGCAAAGAAAACACGCTTGAAGTCAGAGAGACGGAGAGGAGGGACAAAGAGAGAGAGGGAGAGTGGGGACTTTGCTTGCTAGTTCTTTTAATATGTAGCAGTTACACAAGTAAATGGGTTGACAGTGTAAATAAAAGGCTACATACTTCAACTTAAGTAATGAGATGGTGATGGAGGCAGTGAAAGAAAGGAATAATGGAGAGATCAAGATAGAGGAGAGAGGCTGTATGTAAAGAGCAAACACTGGAGGGTGAAAAGGAAAAAAATACTATTCTCTGTCCTGATTTCTCTGTTGAAATAAACACTGAGACGAGTTTACTTCTCATTCACACTCAGACACCGGCCTGTCTTGCACACTATTTTCACAGCTCAAACAGAGACATGAAATTGGCTTTGATTCCTAAAATATAAACATCCAAATAAGTCTGTACAGGCTTGTGGTTTAGAGAGAAACAGAAATTCCTTCTGTATCTATAAACAGTTTCCAGTTTGATTTACCTTAAAGTATTGATAATTAGAAAGGTGCTAGGAGAACACATTGTTCTGCCAAAGCTTACGGCCTATCTTGCCATTTTAACAAACAACGTGAAAACAAATTCCTGGATCCACCCGTTCACATGGATCTGCTCCACAAATTTAAAGGGATCATGCCGCACCCCAAAGTGTCATGGAAATTGGTTCAGTAATTTTTATGTAATCTTGCTGACTGACAAACACAAACAGAGAAAAACATAATCCTTAGTGGAAAAAGACGTATATTAATATCACAATACAGAACCAGGATTGTATCCAGATGCTTAAATGTCTTATTCAAGCAAATTAAGTTGTTTACTCTATAAAAAACACTCACAGAGCCCAAGGTAACATCTTCAAATTGCTGGGTGACCAGTTAAAAACTCATAGATCATTATCATTTGCAATAATACAAGTATATTAAAAACTAGTAAACCTAGTTCTAACTGTCTAACTGTCCCCTTCAATTCAATCGGGCTGCACCAAGTTGCACACACTCCTAGAAATCACTTCTCTAAATATGCCTCGAATCCATGAATTAAACTCTCGGAAAAATCGTGAAAATGTCAATAAATGCCCTAATGTTAGAGAAAGTGATAAAAAAAAATCCAGGATCCTCACCAGCATTACTTGGGTTCTTCTCTGATCCCAAACTTTAGAGTTTAACTATCCTAAATAGCATTTCTACAATTTATTGTTGTTAAATTTATGACATCTGGTCACTGAAGTTCACAAAGAAATGGTTTGTTGTCCGACAGTTCTCGAGCAACGACTGCTAAATCCCCCTGCTCTGAGCAAATGACAGATAAATTGCACAACTACAAAACAATGGTAAGCACGACCAGACATTCATCCAGACAGACAAACCTCAGAGAGCGTTACTCCATCATTAGTGGAGTCGGACCACAGACAGAAGCGTCTTTCTGGTTTTACCTCAAATCCTGCCTCTATTCATAGACAGTGATAAGAGAGACGGGCAGGTCCTCCCTGTTCAAAGCCTCAAAATCCCTCCATCAATCCTCAGTGAAGCCAACTGTGATTCACACACATTATCAGACACAGACACACATTATTGCCTAATACGACTACACACACACCCACAACACACACATACACACACATACACACACACATACAAACACACACAATTAGCTGTAAACTGCTGGGTTATTATTTATACTGGAAAACATAACAAGACGTCAGAGGCAGGGAGTTGTTTTCCAACACAAAACCACAAATTTGCAGTTTTCCCAAAATACACTGAGGTTTGCAAGAGGGTATTTAGGGAATGTAGCCCAGACAAAAGACACACACACACACACACTGTACTTATAGTTTCTTCAAATGAAGCACAATTCATAGACATTTCTTCATTTCATTTGTAACTCCAGTAGCGGCACACAAAAAAGAAAACATACCCATTACGAAGCTCGCAAAGAATTTAACACACACACACACACACACACGATCTGCAGCTTGAATGTTTGCCAAGTCCGTCTGACCAGTGAGCTGACCCATTTACAGAGAATGAGAGAGAGGTCAAGTAAGACAGCATGTATTATGTAGGCCAGTTTATATGAGGATCCCTTTTGTGATCGTGATCGTATGTGGGTGTGTGTGTGTGAAAGAGAGCAAGTGGGTGTGGTGTGTGCGTGGTGAGTGTACATGCTTGTGTGTCTTCTTTGTGGATGCAGGAAATATGTGAGCGTAACTAGCCATGTGTCTGTTGCAGCTACTGTATGAATGTTAATGTGGATGAAGGTCAGTGGCTGAACAAGTTTTAGTTGTGTATAATGTGTGTGTGTGTGTGTGTGTGTGTGTGTGTGTGTGTGTAAAGCCTTTGTGAGTGTGATAGTAAGAAAAGAAAGGGAGAGAAAAGAAAGATATTTAAAAGGAAACCACACTGTTTAACCAATGAAGCTTTGTTTTTAGCAAAATTCTCAATTATTTCTAAATAATGTGAACACCCTGTTGATAAAAGGGTTGGTTCTTCTTGTTTAATTCATTAATTAATATGTAGCCGGAAATGGGAACAGGAGTCAGAGGTCTGCTGCATCTATACATTACCACAGATCCATCTTAGCGCCTTAAAACATTATAACTAATTATTAAAAGCCAAACTTTATAGGTCTGACAAAGGATTGGGGAGGATTCAGAGTAAGAAGAAGATGATTCGCTGTATTCTTGTTTGATACAATATACATGATACAGAACAGATGACTTTGTGTCCCGAGCATCAACTTACATGACCACTCAAGGTTCAATGGCACTTTAATTCAAAAGTATTTTCCAAACAAAGAGGCTTGATTTCCTCCATTATTGCTTAAAGGGCATGAACGAGAAGGAGAAACACATGCAAGTCAGTCAGGACAGCACATGTTGTGAGATGTAACTGAATACTTTCCCTCATTCCTTCATCCACTGCAGCAACAGCAGAGTTTTATCTACTGGATTTTTCACATTTTATCTTAATGGAGAGGAGGATTCATCTAGTGTCCAGATGTAGGCTGTGCAATTGTTCACTATCTGCTATGAGCCTCAACAGATGGGTGACCCTCAGTGCTGCTCAAAAAGCCACAACTAAAACAAACAGACACAACTAAACAGATAATACAACATTCCCTTGTAGACGAAAGAAATCTTGCTCATTCATGCACAAACCAAGCTGTTAAATTAGGGCTGCAACAGCAGAGAGTGGCTGTCAGACAAGTTTAAATGAAAAATGAGCATGAAGCAATACTGCACTGTTGACTACAAAGTTGGTTTTGGATGGAGCAATAATAAAAACCTCTTAATCTGCATGAAAAGAAGAAGAGATATCAGAGTGGAAAAGTATCTATAACTGTATTGTTTCTAATACAAATTGACGACAGTTTAACATCTCTCTGGGATGTCAAATGAAAACAGGAGGAGACCGTCTTTATGAGTCTGGTAACTCGTGGTGTGTAACACAAGCTGTCCCCCCTCTCTCTGGGTGCTCTATATTTCATGATGGGTGCAGGTTACATCTCTGAGCCGGGCCGAGGGGGCACGTGTGTGTGTATGTGCATGCCTGCAGGAAATATGACGCTGTGCAATCAGCGATGAAGGGTCGAAGGTGTCAGGGGGATTCTGAGAGTGCGTGTGTGTGTGTAATTTGGGGTGGTGGGGCGTGCAGATCATGTTTTCCATCGTGTATTCCCTCCCAATCTCAAGTGACACCAACAAACCTATACTTGACCTAAACAAGGCTGCATCGTATAGCAACACACAAACACACATGCACACAGTGCAGTTCATTAGTTAATTAGCTATTCAAGGACTCATGCATGTGGCTAAGACACTGAACATAATGTACAAAACACTTCTGCACTTGTCACCTATGACTGTGACAAACAGATGAAGGGGAGATAAGAGGAGAAGCAGAGGAGTGGAAGATGAAAACAATATGGTCTATGTTGCTGAGGTTCACTTTATATCACAGCTCAATCACACAGCCACAAAATGTAAAATACTATTCCAAATACTATATTTTCTTTAATATGTCTTACATTCTGGGGTTGTCAAAGTTGAATATTCAGTCAAAATATACAAATCAAAACAGAATTCAATATGTTTTTGTTTCGGTTATATAAAGTAGTAACATGGGCAAAATATGGGTGGGTACTGAAACCGCTGATGAACTGAAACAAACATAAGGCTGCAGATAAGCAAGGTCACACACATACACAAACGCGTGCACACACACACACACTATGTGAAAAGTTGCAGGAGAAATGTAGTTATTGTCTACATTTTCCTATCTTTGTGTCTATCTCTCTAATACATGATGAACACAGCGCACATGAACTGCTGTCATCTGTGCAGGGTGTGTGTGTGTGTGTGTGTGTAGCTGACACCCTTGCAGGAATAGAACAAGGAGTTGTGTTGTGTGGTGCACAGACTCACCTCTGGTTGGGCCGTGTAGCAGACTGATGTTTCGTCCTCACAGCCAAATTAGGGCAGGAGCTGGACGTTTGTGGAAAAGAGAGAGAGAAAGAGAGATAATCACATTTGAGATTCAAAGCATCAACAGCAGTGTGTGTGTGTGTGTGTGTGTGTGTGTGTCAGATTAACTGACTGGTATTTCTGGTGCTGACTAATAAGCAAATTTAATAGTTTAGTCGTCCTCCTGCACACTGGGTAACTGAAAGTGAAATGTAAAGGTTTCTCCAAACATTCAGTCATACATTCACCAGTTGCCTCTGAGACACAGAATGAATTCTCAGGAACCATAATGAATAACATCAGGTAGAAAAGGATTCAAATGGTTAACCTTTTCTGTGGAGCTCTTGGGCAGAGGTCAGAAAACCAAACATCATCTTCCTCTTTTAGAATTTCCCCCAACGTGACGTATTGATCATCGTCACCTCTGCTTTAGAATAAACTTCTTTAATATGGCATTCTAACAAAGATGGTCATCTGTTACTTAATGTGACACTGAACGTCTCCAGAGCACTTTAATGTGTTACACTTGGAAGTTATTGAGTATTATCATTGTAGTTAAGGGATTAGTGTTGCAGCACATGGCTCATGTGAAGGGAACAGTACTGGTTAAATACTACAAAGTTAAAGGCTGAACAGTACAACCATAAGTGTCCACACAGTAAAAGTCTTGTGAAAAAGAAAAGAGCCAAGCTGTTCATCAAACCACGACCACAAATACAACACAACAAGTCCAGATGGTTTGTGGAAGACGTTCTTTGTTTTCACTAAATCCAACAATCCCTTCGACCGAAGCTACAGTAACAGAGACGTTTCCCTCAGAGGGGATTAAAATGTCAAATAAGCATCTTGTTGGTTTTTCACTGCGCCTCAAAAAATATGCACAAGGAGAGGACAAAAGTTCAGAAAGTGCAGGGGGGCTATGAATTTGAAAATAAAATCATAGATATCAATCAAGAAAACAATAATTTGATGTGTTGAAACTCAATTTGAGGGGGAAAATATTGATGATAAGCTTTGATCAGCAAAATATGAAATATTCCCTGTTTTCCCATGGTGCACCTGAGATTTAGATTATTTTAATGGATTCAACCTTTCCTCAGGACTGCAGGAGCGCACACACTCTGAGTTAAAGGGCCATCAGAATCATTAAGCTGCTGGCTTTGTTGTGTCTGCTGAGGAGGGACAAATTACACTATAATCATTGTGACCTCAACATTAGCAGAGAGTTAATGAGCCACTGGATCTAAAAACAGGTTCTCTGACTACCACTTGGGAATGTATCTCTAGAGGATTAACTTTTGGAGCTGATCGGTCAGAGGTCAACAGTCAAGGTCAACAAAAAACATGATCTGAAGAACACATTTTCCAAGAGATTTCCGTAAATAATAGAGCAAGAGAGAATCTAAATGTAATCTTATGTTGATCAGAAAGATATTCCTGCTCATGAAGAAGTTACAGTGAAGTCAGACACAACCTAAATCTTAGGGTCATGACGATGTCATTACAAAGCCGCATTATTACAATATAAACATGCTTAACACATTATTTACACCTGCACCTCTCCTACTGAATAAAATGATTGTTTCAGCTATTAGCAGAGCTATGTTGGTATAGGCTTCAACAGAACATTTTGATTTATTCGATTCTGGTTCTAGATCCAAAATGCTCCTGATGTCAAAGCTCAATCTTGACTCAATGCCTTCGACCTTTTATCGTCGACAAAACTCAGTACTCTACCGCAACACGGCTGAGTTTGTGAGCGCGGCAGTTCTCCAGCGACTGAGAGGCCACTTGATCTTTCTCCCTGTGACCTTTCTGCTCACGATCAATACTGTAATGGCTGTATTTCGTTGAATTATATCTCTGCCCTGCAAGCTGTACTGCTGCTGTAGAATAAAATGATATGGCAGTCGAGTGTGTGTGATGTAACAGCGTTGCAGCCAATGATGTAACAAGCTCTGCAGGCAGATTGAAGCTGCAGAACACAAAGAGCATCCTCTAAGAGCTCCTCGAAGAGACAGACAGAGGAGAGGGATAGAGAGAGAGAGAGAGAATGGGTGAGAGAGATAGACAACGCAGATGTAAAGGACTCTTGCTTGTCAAACAATAGTCTGGGTCTATGGATGTGCACACACCCGCATGTGCACACACACAGTCCAACACTATAACTCGCTTTGTGCAAATACATTTATACACTGCAGTAACTGACCTCCAGCTCCTGAACGCTGCAGAACTGACACACAGCTGCACTGACAGACAATGTGTGTGTGTGTGTGTGTGTGTGTGTGTGTGTGTGTGTGTGTGTGTGTGTGTGTGTGTGTGTGCAAACAGCAATGGGGATTTTGATCTCTCATCTTACGACAGTTAACAAACACATTTTACTGAGTGCTCTCTTGAAACCACAGTTTCCTGCTGTTTGATACTGAAGAACTACATTATGAGTGCCTTGCTCAAAGGCCCCATGTACCATCTATAACTGATTTAAAACCATCTATAATCACACTAATTAATCTTTTCGATCGATTAAAATCAAGAGTCAAGCTTGTCACCCTCTGTTTAAAACTGAATGTAAACTACTACGGGGACTGCAGGTGGGCTACCTGTGTAACTGTACAGGAGTCACAAGCGATATGGATTCATAGGGGACTGTGCCAGTGCAGCCAGTTGAGTTAATTTAGGGGTGAAATTGATGATTGCAGTGGGAAAACTGGATGAGCGATGACAGTGTTAGTCAGACAGTGGAAGAGACAGACTGGCTGGATGTCAAATCATGTTGGATAATCGCACAGCCGGCTGAACTGCGAGGCTGACCGCCTGCTGAAGACTGCGACAGTTTCCCCAGCAGTGACACAGGATAGGTAGAGGAGGGAGACGATTACAGAGCAGAATACAATAGAGAATAAGGACGTAGATCAACGGCAGCGATTGAGACTAGAGGAGCAAATTATAATTTTGAGTATAATGATAAATTGATTATTCATTTGATGTACATTTAATCTGGTCATCAATTTATCCTTTACATTAAATCTTTGCTGGTTTTCTTAGTCTTAAATGATACTAAACTTCTGATTTCAGAGTAACATCTGCACAAATGAAGAAATTTAAGGTCATAATTTAGCATTGACATTTTTCCGAACATTTTACAGATCAGATGGAATTTACGGGCTGACAGATTAATTGATGCACAAGGTGATTTATAGACCAAGGTGATAAAACAGCTAGAGACGAGTAACATCCACCTCCTATCTATGCAGTGTTTATGATCATTTATAAAGTAACCACAAAGAAATCCATCAAGCATCAAGGCCTAAACTAAAGTGAAATACATGGCATTTTCTCTGAGAGGCGATACACGTGCTAGTTTTCCCTGAAGATTGTCTCACGTTAGGAAAACTATATAAATTCTTAATGATTTCAAGTGCTGTGGCCCATTAAAGTGGGACAATGGAGATTAGGGCTGGAAAATAACACCATCAATAACTATCACAATATAATTTTCACAACAACAATGTGAAAAGGGTTCAGTATTAATTGATGTATTTCTAATGCGTTGTGCAATTCTGGATAATGATTGATCTACCACAGATTAGTTTAATATTTTGCTTCTGTTTATCATCCTCTGCCCATAAAGACAAATGAATATACCAACATCGCCCTTTGGAGACAGTGGTGGACACTTGGAGACTGTATGTTTTCTGTCTGATCTAATGTTTGACAGAGTATAAAGAAGTCTAGTTTAGTGTAAGAGGCTAACGTGTGCAGGTTTGCAGCACACGGGTGAAGTACTCTGCAGCTAATTGAACCACACGCTGTGTTTTCACTCCCAAAAAAGGACACGACCTGAGCCGCGCTGCTAATCACCCACAGGGCAGCTAATTCTGAAGCTACCCTACATGTAGCTGTGCACACACACACACACACACACACTTTTACTACACACACACACACACACACACACATTTACTACACGCACACAACCCTCCTCCTGCTGCTAGCTGATGTGATGCTACACAGTTAGCTGGATGCTACCGGCAGCCACAAAGAGCCCACACAGCTGTCTGTCCCTCCAGATCACTGCAGTCCAAACACTGAACTCTTACCTCTTCTACGGCGGCTGCTCTGGCTCCTTCTCCTCCCTCTCTCACACGCACAGACCCAGAGGTGTCGTTGTGTCCGGACGTGCTCTGACCCGCTGCTCCCTGCGGGTCGTGTCTCTGAGCAGATGCTGAGACTCTGATCATCGATGTTTGGAGCTTTAGCTTTTTCCTCCTCGCTGCAAAAACATTACTCCAGCTCACTACCGTAAACCACGCGGCAAACGCGACGGCACATTTTAAGCTAGCGAACGCCGCTCACGGCTAACAGAGAGAACGGAGGAGAACACCGGGCTCAGTTTACCTCGAGTTAAACTTGATTTTGTTCGACATGACACGAAAACACTGTGGTTTTATTTCACAGCTCGACGAGACGGACTCGATCGCAGCCACGGCGCTGATTGGAAAGAGCTTCACTCACCTCTAGTGGACGATTAGATTCACTGCAGCCGACGTGCGTGTTGTATTCCAAGCTTTACGGTAAGGACCCTCCACAGATGGCGAACGTGACATTGACGTTAAACGGGAGCCAATCGGCTTCTAGGAGGGGCGGGGCCCGCAGCAGCAGCCCAGGATAACGGAGCAGGAAGCTCCGCCTGTTTGTTTCCCGTTACCGGAGAATGTCCACGGATCATTATGTGACATCTTAACGGAAACGGTGCGTGAGTATGAGGGTGAGGCAGCGACGACGGGACCTCGTTCCTCTTTAATCCAAGAATACGCTGACATGAGTGAAGTGAAACCGGTTAGCTTAATGCTACCGGGCCATGAACGCTAAAGATGGCTGTTGTTGTGAGGCCGGCTAACTAAAGAAGAACACAATCAATACATTCAGAATCAAACCCAGCTGCAGCTAGCATTAGATTTAGATATTTTTGAACAATATTCGGTTTTAAATTGACATTAGCAGCTATTCAAGCGTCACTGTCTGTTCTCATGAAGGTGTTTCTTGCTTTAATTGATTCCATATATAAAACATACAATTGAATGTGAGCCTTTTCTATGGATGTCCAGTTTGTGATCGTCTTTGTCCTCTGGTGTGTGTCCGCAGTCAGTGACATGTCTCTGGCTCAGAGGGTTTTACTGACCTGGGTGTTCACCCTGGTCTTCCTCATCATGCTCGTGCTCAAACTGGATGGGAAGGTAAGAAGTTGTTTTAATTCTCCTATCAGACACCAGTTTGATGAAAACCATCATAAATCGGTCCCTGAAACAGGCCTGATTTGTTTCCATGATCAATGAAAATGTCTCGCATTGTAAAAGACAGTAACAGTAAAAGACAGTGGGGGAAATAAATGTCTGGATCCTTCCCCTGATCCAGGTCTGCAACAAAATCTCATGGGTGCTACCCTGACTCATACTGCATCCTGCCACCAAGTATTATGGTAATCCCTCCAGCAGCTTTGGCATAATCCTAATAAACAAACACAATTATTTGTTTTAAATCAAGTGATCTGATTTACAGCCACACCAAAATTAGATCGGTCCTCTCTTGGGTCATGCCCCACCCCATCACAGAAGTTCATGGAAATTGAATCAGTAGTTTTTGCGTAATCCTGCTAACTAACAAACAAACACCAGTGAAGATAGAAGCTCCTTGGTGGAGAAAATTATCAATTCAAATTGAAAGAATTTGTGGATAAAAGCATTTACTATGTGACATCTTCACCTATTCCTCCCCCAGGTGCAGTGGAACTGGTTCCTCATCTTCCTCCCTGTCTGGGTCTTCGATGGCATCCTCATCCTCATGCTTGCCATCAAGATGGCAGGCCGCTGCAAGCCTGGGTACGATCCCCGCAACGGCTCCCCGGACCTGCGGCTGCGCGCCTGGTACCTGACGGCCATGCTGCTCAAGCTGGGATTCTGCCTGACACTGTGCGCCAAGCTGGAGAAGCTGGCCGACGTGAAGCTGACGTTTGTGTGCATTCCGCTTTGGACCATGTTACTGGGAGCGCTGGTGGAGCTGGGGCTGAATATCTTTCCTGAGAGGAGAGAAGCCTGAGGAGAGAAGGGGGGGGTAATTACACCTACACAAGACTTGTGCACAAAATGTGTTTATATGACCATTACTTTGTGAAACAGGAGACTTTCGCCTTGGCCCGATTGTCTTCACAGAGGACTGAGACTCGAGAAGGAATCAAATCATCACCAGATACATTGGATCTTATGAAAAATAGGCTGTAAAAATAGAATCATTTGTGCTCAGATCATCGTGAAGTGTTCAGTGAAGGTTCGAGCAGAGCTGGCACTCTGCTGCCTGTGACTGCATGTGAATCACACTACATTCATTTAAATAAAAACAGATAGACTGACTCTCAGTACAGAGCAATACTTCTGCCAAGGCCCAGATTTTGCACCGAATCTGTCGTGTTCATTTGGACGTAGTTCCTAAACTATTAAAGCGATACATAAACTGTTATTTCCTACTTGTTACCGTATAGCGGCTGAAACAAGTCCTACCCTCCCTTGAAACCACAAATCTGCTAGATGTGGGTTTTTTACACACACATAAATATCAGTCCAATGATTTTTTTCATCAAGATCCATGAATTATTATCTGAGAAATTGGTGTTTAAATAAGTGATTACAAATTCCTGGAGTAGCCCTTAAATTGAATGGGTTGTTTCTTGGATCATGTCCCATCCTTCCATGTTTGGTGGAAATCAAACACAAAAAAATGCCAATACAAAGAATCAACTGCATTTCTATAAAACTACTGTGAAGCTGACACTGGGGGGAACAAACATACTTTTTCTTACGCTAGTGTTTATTTTACTGTACATAAACTAGCTCTGCTGCTCATGCTGGGGGTGGGGGGGTGGGGGGAGTGGACAAACAGTATTTGGTGAATTTTGACTTAATTTTTCTTTTCTTTATTTACATTTACTCTTGGTACCAGATTGTGGAGTATTAATTTTGATACATGTGCTTCAGATATTGTTTGGCTGTATTTACACACACGCACTTTGTGTTTTTCATTCCAGAGCTGTGGAGGGTAGTTGGCCAAATATTATTTTACAAGTCATAGATTAACTTTGAATGTGTTGGTTTGGCTTTTTATCTACAGGCTACCCTCTCTGTCTTGTACAATTTTAATTTTGTACCGTTTCAATCATTATGTGTATCAAGAAAATCAGTAAGATGTTCCGAGATAGATTTTCTGTTTTTTACTACACCGCTCATCAGAATATCTTCTACAGGAGTTTGAAAATGTGTTGAGTTGATCATTGATTCAGTGTCACGGTACAGCCGACACCGTGCATGACTGAGAAGTGTTTTTTTTGTGCCATGTGATTGTTCCAGGAGTATTTCAAAAACATTCTTCACATTGTTTTGCACTAAGTTGACCAGAAAATAAATGTATGTTTTGATGTGGCATGCACGTCTTTATAGTAAATGATTTATATGAAACTATGGGGTTTGTCATCGTGGTATTGTAACAATCATTTTGGTAGCATGGTTCCTCTTTCATTCCCACTCGTCATCCTGGTGAGCGTATACAATCTCTTTCGAGAAGTGCGTAGCTGACTGTGTAAGTTCAAGGGTGGACTGGTTCCAGTCCAGCATTACTCTTGAACTCGCTGGACCTATTTATTATTATTTTAAGGTAAAAAAAGCTGCACATTGACCATGAGTGCCGTTACTCCATTATTAGAACTATTCCAATTGTTATTCAAACCTCGAGCAGAGGGTGTATTCTGAAGGACGACTGCTGTGTGTGTGTGTGTGTGTGTGTGTGTGTGTGTGTGTGTGTGTGTGCGCGCGCCATGTTCCTGTGAAGGTTTTTCCCTCCCAAAAACGCTCTGTGTCCCTGCTCTGACTTCCTGCCTCGATCCCATTCCCACCCTTATAAAGGTCAGCTGTGTGTGTGTGTGTGTGTGTGTGTGTGTGTGTGTGTGTGTGTGTGTGTGTGTGTGTGTGTGTGTGTGTGTGTGTGTGTGTGTGTGTGTNTGTGTGTGTGTGTGTGTGTGTGTGTGTGTGTGTGTGTAGGAATGATTCGAGGGGGAAAAGGCTGTTTTGAGTCGTATCTGACGTGACACACACCAGCCCTCTGTTACGGGGCTGCTGCGTTGTGTTGTGTGTGTGCTGTCTGCTCGGATCTCGCCTGGTAAAAGTGCTGAGTTCATTGCTGCAGACTGCAGTGAGTGGGCGTCTTGCATAACAGCAACACAATAGAGAGAGAAATCACAGGCAGGTAAACATCAGAGGTGTAGTCTCTCAGAATGAAATACAACTGGAGGAAATGGCCTTTTGTTGCCCTTTAAAGTCAAGACAGGTGTTTGTGTTCTTTAACCGAGCACTCAGAAGATTTAAGTGTTCTGAGCTCCTGCCGGTGTAGAGTGGAGAATGTCAAGTACGTCTGACATCAACATGACATAAATCTTATGTGTTAAAGCTGCTATCATCTATAGTCTCAGACTGTATATAAAGATAGACGATGTATCCTCACTTCCTCCCACTATGTGGAAATGAAGCCAAAATATCCCTGATACAAACAGCTGCCATCTTGCATCTATGACATCATTCAAGTCAGAAAAATTAGCACTTCCACAAACATCAGTGTGATAAGAAATATCTTTAAGAAAAATGCATTTAACATGTATTTTGACTTTTTAGTTTGACCCATCTGCTAACATGGAGGAGGCCGGGTTTATGGCCTAAACTGCAGCCAGCGACCAGACGGTGATAAAGACACTTTGGCTTCACTTTTAACAATCCAGTATTGGTAACTTCCATGTTTTCCTTTTAACCCATAATGACTTAATATGAATTGGAAATGCTGGGATTTAAAAAATACATGAACATAATTCTTTTGAAACATGCATGTTTTTAAACCACAAGAGCAATAAAACATCAATTCTTTCCCATAAAATGTTCATACATTGAACCTTTTATTAGCTAGGCTCATATTTAAAGTAGAAACCACACTACAAGTTGTTTTCCTCTTTACAAAAACCTCTTATGTACACTACAGTGCTGACAGTTGAAAATCACAGAAACAAAATAGAAAACAAAACAAAACAGAAAACTTTGAGATAAATAAATTCTGTGAAAACAACACGAGCCCCTGGAGAACTTTTCTTTTTTCAACCTTAATTTTTGTTACATTTGTACAGAAAAATATATGTTCCTGTCATGTTTTTTTGTAACATCTGAAACCTAAGAGCATAAAAAGAGCTGCAGAGCCTCGCAACTGGCATCAAGTGCTTAGTAATCACCTCGCTCCACCAAGGAACCACACGGCGAGGAGTTCTGTGTCTGAAATGGCGTTCTCAGAGGAAAACTGACCAAGAGAGCTCAAGCTCCGAGGGTTGTGGTGAGTTTAATCATGAAAAACACAACCCTGCTCTCAGGATATCATTCCGCTGAGATGACCCAGTTTAGACCACAGATATCTGGAGAGAGTTCAGTGGCTTTTGACACCAATTTAAGGCTTGATTCTCATTTTCCAGTGAAAACGTGAAACTTTTGACTCATAAAAAAAAACTCATGAAAGGACAGAACTCCTCCTCTACGTGGCTCTGGACCATTTAGTAGTTCACAGTTAAGGACAGGCACTGGGGAAATGCTACGGGCTACATTAGCAAGTGGGCTGTACTCCAATATTGATCAAATCAAGCCATCAATAACACAACAAAACAACAAAAATCAATTTCCGCTCACTGAGACGGAACAATGTGATTAAAAAAGAGAGAATCAGATACTTGGAGAAACATATACTCTACATAGCTGCAGCTGAAACAGAATTTCAATAATTTATTGTACTTTTAAAACACAGGAGATCACTTCAGTCCCTGGTCGATAAATAAAATATGTTTTTACAGACAAGATGCTCCACACGGCACAGAAACTGGACTTCAGGTAAATAGATAAATAGTGCGTTCAGAGTGAAGTATCCACAGTGTACCATCTGTTTTCAAAGTGTCTCAGAGCATGTCTCCATAAAGGTTTAAAAAAAATATTCACGGAGGCCTGAACGGATTCAAATTATGAAGTTGGAAGAACCTGAAATTGCCCTGTATAATAATATCAACTGTATTTAAACAGGTTTACAAAGTGCTGTAATAAGTCTTAACATACTGAATCTGTGGCAAGCTCTCCATGTAGCTGCATAGGTCGAAATTAGATATTAAGTGACTCATATTTTGGGTTTTTTTTCCTCAGGAGACCAAAGTATTCATGGATGTGTCCTGAATTGTTTTTCCTGAGACGTGGCTGTGTAACAGCTCCGGCTGGATCGAATTCTTCCCTGGCCGACCAGCGAGCGCTCAGTTTCCAAAATTAAGTCCAACAGATGCTGAAAATCCCAGCAGAACTGGAGCTCAGCCGCTGGTGTTGACAATAAGATAATCTCTAAATACTTTAAATGTGTCTTTCTGTTGAGTAATTAACTGTAGTCAGCGCTACTGGATGTATGCTGTGATGAAGTATCAGGGCCACGTAAAGGGAAAATAAAGTCTGAGATTTCAGGAATAAAGTTGCAATATAATCTATAGAAATAAAGTCGTAATATTACAAGAATAAAAACATAATATATGAGGACGAATTAGGCATATTACGAGGATAAAGTCGTAAGATTATGAAAATAAAGTTGTAATATTATGACTTTTTTCTTAAGTTTTTTTCTTCAATTTGGCCAAATACTTTACTGTAGTTTACTATACTGACTTTTGTTTTAAGGCAGTAAAACTGTAATAACCATCTTCTTGGGCAATAACATACTGCAAGTGATCCTAAATACTTTAATAACATTGATTCTCTCCTCATGGAGGTCGGCTCAATGAACATGGTGTTTTTTAAATTCAGATAAAAATACTGACAATAACTGGGGATTTCACTTTTAAATTCAGCAGATTATTGCAGAGCATTATTGCTCAAAATACAGTATCAGGGAAAAGTACTGCAACATACTGTACTGATTAAGATGCATCGATACAATATAAGAGAAGAAATGTAGTGATATCACACCAATACGTCTTTGTATCGTATAATATCAGTTTGACTCATTGTTATTCCAGAAACAGTCTTGGGCACAATAAAATAAAAGACACAAAACGGAAGCATTAGCTGCAAATTTCACAAAAAGTTCATCTCTGCGACCTTTTTATATAAATATCCGACAAAATTTACCTATTTTCTTTCAACCTCTGACAGAACCAGACAGCAGTTTGGTAGACGTGAACCTGGAAAATCTCTTCAACATTCGATTTTGGTGCAACCAGACTTCACTAAAGGCCAAAACCACCGGTACATGCAACAACTGCTCAATATTTTTCGAACCAGAGCACAACCAGACTAACTCAGTCAAGAGGTGTGGGGTAAATAAAGTCCAGCTCTGCTTTATAAACCACGATAATGCGTCTGTACTGATACTCTCCACTGTCCCGTTACTTCCTTTTAAACAGTTTTACAACAACACAACCAAAATAAAACCTTATACATGTACAGTCATTTAAAAACAGCGTCATTATGTACAAAAACAACTATAAAATCTGTCTCCACTCCTCTTCATGCTTTGGAGGAGGGGAGAGGACCGAGGGGGAGGGCTGAGGGGGGAGAGGAGGTGGAAGAGGGGGAGGAGGAGGAGGCAGAGACTGCGAGGAGGGGGGAGGAGGAGGGGGAGGAGGAGGAGGAGGCGGATGGGAGAAGGACATTGAGAGAGGAACCTGCCCTGGTGCTGAGGTCTGGTACTGCGGCTGCAGCGGGTAAGTGCTCGGTGGGAAAGAGTGATGGGGGAGGAAGGGGTGAGGGGCGAAGTGCGGGTGCTGGGGAGGAGGGAAGAAGGATTTGGCAAACTGGTGATGGTGGGGGAGGTGAGGAGGGAGAGACTGGGTGCTGGTGAGGGGAGTGTTCGGCTGTGACGGCGGAGCCATCAGAGGCGGATGGTAGTACGGCTGAGCCTGGGTGGTGAGGTTCGGTTGGTGCGGCGGATGCAAATGAAGCTGGCTCATGTGAAGCGAGTGCAGCGTCGGTTTCTGACTCAGGAACGGGTTGAGCGCTTGTGGCTGCATCGGGAGGGAGGGGTTGGAGAGCGGGTTTGGCGGGAGGATCTGCGGTCTGTGAGGATGGTGGGAGTGTGGAAGGAGAGGGGAGAAGGAGGGTGGGAGAATTTGAGGGATGTGAGGAGGCGGGTGGTGCTGGGATGCGTATTGCTGCATGTAAACCCCTTGCCTCCCTGGGTCCTGTGGCGCACGACTCTGCGGATCCACTGGCATCCTCGAGTCAGAGTCCAAACTATGGGTCCATTTCTCCGGGAGCGTTTGAATCCGTGTGTCCACCGGTGTCTGATCTCGTGCATTGGCTATGGTGTGTGTCCTTGTGTTGCATTGGGGTGTGTATGTCTGTACATTCGCAGCAGGTGCTCGGACCTCTGACTGTGTTTGCGTCCGTGTGTTTGAATGAACGTCTGGCTTTGGACGATGTGAGTCTCTCTTCGTTGGTTGGCCTGACTGAGAGGAGGGAGGCTGCTGGGAAGACGAAGTGGAAGGAAGGAGCGAGGAAAGGCGAGAATCCACTGTCGGCTTTGGACTCGTCAGTGAAGATGTGGGTGCAGAGGAGGACAGAACAGGAACAAAAGGAGAACTAGAAGGGGATGACGTGGGAGAAGCAAAAGAGGAGCGCAGTGGATCAGCGGATCCTGCTGGTGGCGCAGGGGAGGAGGAAAGCTTCGACAAAGATGGAGAAGAAGATGTAGAGCAGGAGGAAGAGGGCGCTGCACTGGAAGACGTCGTTCCGCTGTCTAAGTGATGGTGATGATGGTGGTTGTGGTGATGATGATGATGATGATGATGGTGGGGCTTTGATGATGCTTTGGGATGAAGAGAGGTGGGGGGTGACACAGGAAGAGGCGATGGTAATTTATTTTTGCAGAGAGGAGGAGCTGAGGGTTCAGTCTTCACCTCCTGTGAAGGTGAAGACTGAACCCTCGGTTGTTTGTGTTTTCCTCTTTCTTTTACCCTCTCTGTCTCCTCCTCTTTAACTCTAGCACCGCCCACGTTTGAGTCCGCTGAGCGAGCGGGCTGAGGCAACACAGGTGGAGGATGAGGAAGATGCTGTTCCTCCTTTTTGACAACTGGCAACGTCCTGTTTTCTGCCACATCCATCTCCTCCTCCTTCTCTTCTTTAATCCTCTCCTTTACTTTCTCACCCTTCTTTTCTCTCCTCACCTCCTCTTTTTGCCCTAGCTCCACCATTTCTGCCCCCCCCTTCTTTAATTCAACTTGCTTCTCCTCCTCCTCCTCTTCCTCCACCTCCTCTTCTTCTTCTCCATGATGGTACTGCCTTAAGCGGACGTGCCACGCCAAGCTGCAGACGGCTGACACGGTCTTGAACTGGTGGACCACGTTGCGGGGGATGAAGTAGATGTCATCGTGGCACAGGCGGATGCGGGCGTAGCGGATGCCCTCGCGGCGCAGCTGGTTTAGTTTGGCATCATCAACCCACTGCACACACTGTGAAGACAGAGGAGGAGACGAGGGATGAGATGGAGGAAATCAACTCTGACTTCTATCTTAAAAAACTAATCACTGTCAAAACAAATAAGAAGAATTTAAAGTTTTCTCTGTTCAGGAAAGTAAATATATATATAAATCAAAAAGCTCTATTATTTACACGAAATGAAATGCACTTAATCACATTTAATATAATGTAAAATCTGACATTGATGTTACCTTGTATCACTGAAATTTTACTTTAAGTTTATTATGATTAATTATTCATATATTCATATATTTAAACAGCAGCTTTGATAATCAAACACTGTTTAGATCCCAAACCTTTAAACAAAATTGTTGTTCATTGATGCTGTATCCTGTATCTTATCCACTATCTGGAATCACCAACAAAGGTCTGCATGGAAAATGATTCTAAGTTGAATCATAAATAATAAATAAACTACCCCACATCTTTCCTTTGCTGCAGACAAGTCCTCTAACTAACTATCGTTGTGGTTCATTTTTGTTCCACCAGGTGTCAGCGTCTACCATCAGTGTGTGTTAACATTCCACCTCACACAGTGTTAGAAATGAGGTGAAACACTGGGGACGAGTCTAATCTGGGATGTTAAATGTTAAAGGAATGACTGTACTGGGCTGAATTTAATTTGTGAGGAGTGTTTATCACCATGTCTACGCTGTGTGTGTGTGTGTGYGTGTGTGTGTGTATGTGTGTGTGTGTAATGTAACACCTGAGACAGCGGGGGTTCATGTAGGTCCAACTGCAGCCTCTGAACTGCGTGAGGGAAATCACCAGCATGGAAACATACCACGTCTTTGGTTACACAAGGAGGCTCTGAGCTGAAAACAAGAGAGTGTGACATCAGTCGGTGTGCTCGCCACAGTGCGCAAATAACAAACAAGCAGCCGTCTATGTGTGTGCCCAGCAGTCTGGCAGTGTGACCGTGCCTACCCCTCTCCGGAGCACACAGCCTTAAGCACGCCAACGGCCGCTGTGGTCTGACGTTCGAAGCCCTGACCGATGTGATCGGCGTGGGCCCGAGTCCGATCTTCAAACAGCATCTCTCTGGGCTCACTGGTCCTGGGCAGTGATTGCAGCAGGTTCTTCACCTCATTGGTGGAGCTACGAGAAGAAGAAGAAACAGAGTGAAAAGTAGAAAACAAACACACTCTCTGCCCACACAGCTCTCTGAAGACGTCTCTCCTGCTGTCTAAAAGAAGAACACGACTAAAGGTGAGTGGGCCGCTCACACTCCTGCTTTTGTTTATTTCTTTGTTTCCTGTCTGCTGTGCAAAATAAAAGCGGTTGGATCGCTGGTGATGTTATCTTGTTTGACTTGACTCAATTTCATCCACAGCACGAACAGAGGAGCAGAGAGGATGATGGGAGAAATGTGATGCAGAGCAGGAAAACATGAATCAGTCTGGACAATATGAAATGAAATATCACATTAGTTATCAAAAGAAATCACATATAAGAGGATTATGTTGTTCTCACTTTCCCAGAGTCAGAAACCAGTAACTGCCTTAGGACAGATCTTCTACCTGTATTTGTTGTAGTATGAAAATATGTCACGCAGCAATATTATCCTATCTTGGCTCAATTGTCTGTGGGGTCAATTAGCACAATCTTCCAGGAATTGAGTCCCCTAACCCCCTGGCCCACACCCCGCGTGTGTGTGTTCAACGTGTGACGGATGTGTCACTGATCTGCTGCATCTTGTGTGTATCTGTTGTTCAAAGAGCCGTACTGTTGTGTGCCTGCAGCAGAGGTGTGGCCGCTCTGATCTGTTAACATGGTGCCGAAATGAAAAGCAAGTCGTTCTGTGATGCACACGTGTTGCCCGGGCGTAAGCAAGGAAACTAAAGGAGATGAAGGGAACGCCTTTTTCTAAGGGGAGGCCCACAGTCTCAGATTGGAAATACCCTGGTTTGTTTCAGGGCTAAAAATAATTTGTTGATCAACTGAAATTTCTGTTAAGATTTCTACAAAGTATACATTTCCATATTTTCTTGGTTCCATGTGAATTTTTGTAAATTTAGAAGTTAAGTATTTTACATGGTGTTTTGAACTGTTGCTTTGGCAAAAATAAATTACAATCTGAGAAAATGTGATAGAAATGTATTCTGACATTTTAAAATCTGAATTTGACATTAAATAACTATAAAAAAGCCGAGAGTATTTTTTAAAAGACATTTATTGTCTGAAGATATCATTAAACCACCACTGAGCTAGTTCCTCACCTTAGGCACAAAATCCTCATCCTCCAATTATTCCTTAATGTATTTACTTTTTCCACATTGGCTGGTGGCAAAAATGACTTTTCTAGCATGATCAATAGAGTATTAATTAAAATCAAAACACCAGTAGCAAGAAAATGTGAATGGATATTTAAAATCAGTAATAGCTGCATGGAAAACCATGACTTTGTGAGGATACATTTGAAATAATGGAAATTAAAATGGAGTAAACAGGCATTAATGCTTTTGGCTTCATGCGTACAGACTGACAATGAAAGTACTGCAGTCAGCTCACTACTGGATCAGTGACTCACACTGGAGCTGCAGTCAGATTCAAACAAGAGTAGAAACACACACACGCACGCGCACACACACACGGTCTGCGAGAGATTTCTACAAGAGAGTTACACACAGACAGATAGACACACACACAGACAGATAGACACACACACACACACACA